CAGTTTCAGCTAAATGCTCAATTTATTCATTTTTTGCAAAAAGTGGCCATGGATAACCCTGGCGCCAGCCTGTTTCAAGGAGCAGACATACAGATAAACAACTCAAAAAACATTGAGGAGGAGGAAGACTTAGAGGACCAGCTACGGCGGAAGGAAGAGGTACAGTACATACTGTACTAACATGGATTTTCAATGTTTTTATCTGAAAAACTGTATAACTTTACCAAAAGTTCCTTCGCAATTACATCTGGAACGTTTCAGCTGCAAAACCTCCTCCAGGCCAACCTGGACGACTTCAACTATGACGAAAGCACCATTAACTCTTCAGCTAATGTTTCTCTAGTCTCAACCAGTAACTTCGAGCAGCGCTACAAAGATGCCATTTCCCCGAATGACCAGCTACAGGTTCTGTACGATGTTAGGCAAGTAGTTTTATTCGGAGCTTAGCCGTTTGGTCTGACCCTCCGTTTCATTGCAGGTGTAGGGAACTTCAAGAGTTAAATGCAAAATTCGAGAAGTTCAAAGTGGAGAAGAACAAGGAGCTGCAGTCTCAAACCCAACAGAAACTGTTGCTTGAAGGGGAAGTGAGGCAACTGAGCATATCGCTGAAAAACTGCGAAAATTTACTGGGTAGGAACAGACCAGTCACTTTTGAAACCGCTGATGATTTCTAATCAAATCATTTGCAGTGGACAAAACCGAAACTATCAACGACTTGAATAAAACCCTCCAGCAAAAGGAGGCCGACATATCACAGATGCAAACGCTCATAGTGGATGTACGTTGAGCTCTAAAGCTCCTAACTCCTAAACTGATTGGCTTCAATTCCAGCATGAAAACGAATTAACGGCCTACAGATCGGAAGTGGCCGAGCTCCATTTGAAGCTACAAGCCCGAAACGGCCCCTTCAACTTGAGCGCCAAATTTAACTCTGAAGAATTGAAAAAGTCCTTGCAAGTAAAAATTGAGAAGCTGGAAAGCGCGCTTGAGGCCGAAACTAAGAAGCTGGAACATTGCGTAAGTTTTTGCCTGGAATCTAAGTTTTTTTCTAATCAAATGCATAGAGCGCAACAAAACAAGCCCTCCAAGACGAGGTTGAGAGGCTGGTGTTGGATAAAATGGCCCTTGAAAGCGACAACAGCAGCATCATCAAAACTCTGGAAGGCGCTCAACAGCAATGCAAAGACCTAATCGAAGTCATAGAGGTTTTGAAGAAGGAAAATGAACATTTCAAGGGTATAATTGCAGCTGTCTGTTAATTTTTTTTGAATTTGCCAGTTTTTTGCAGGCAGATTGGCTGAAGCGGAAAAAACCAAAAGGCGAAGCACTGAACTTGAGGTGAGGCCTTTGGTGAAAAGGTGAATTTTTAAATTGGCCATCAAAAACAATTTCAGGAAGGCGAGAGCATCAATGAAAAACTCAAGAGAATGATGGTGGATAAATCCGTCGAACTGGACAGTCTCAAAGCAGAACTTCGGTAAAAATGTTCATATTTTATTGGAAAAGGTAATTTTACGATTGGTAATTTTCAGAAGCTATGTGGCTGATCTCAAGGAACTAGCGGAATATCGACAACTAAAGTGCGATCTATTGAAAAAGGAGTTCCAGGCCTGTGGTGCGCGGTTATTTGCTCATTAGCTAATATTGGGAGTTTTTTTAATTTCACATAACCCTTTCTGCCTTTTCCAGACAATCAAAGCCATACAAAGGACCTGATTTTGTTGCAAAACGATCTGCACAACTACAAAAGACTGCTCGACGATAAAACGCAACAAATAACCATTTTAAACTTGAATAACCGAGACCTGAAAGAGAAAATTGAGGAAATGCTGTTGCAGACTAGAACAGAAATTCAAAATATATCCTCCAAGTATAATATGCCTCAATTGGAGATTATGAAGAAGGAACTGGAAAGGGCGGAATGCACCGAGAGAATGTTGACCAGCAAATTGGAAGCAAGTTGCTAAATAAAATCACCAAACCGTAGTTGATTGGCTGATTTCAGGAGTCAGAGCAACGGCGATTGAGTTTATTGCATAAATTGGACACTCAAAGCATTGAAGTCCTGCAGGAGCTGAAAAAGTGCCAGGAAGATCTAAGACTTGCTAAAAATTCGCTTGCCAACAAAGAATGCGAACTAGAACTGAAAGCCACTGAGGTTTGAGTTTACCATCGTTTAATCTCAGAAAGATCCTAGCAAGAAAATTCACTTTCAGATATTTGACCTGCACAACGTGGTGAAAGAGCTGAAACTCGACTTAAAAAAAGCTTCTTCCTCTCAGGAAAATATGGGCGATAAAATAGCCATAAAGGACGACTATGAAGCCTTGAAAGTTCAGCTGAAAACCGTCATGGCTCATTTGGAAAACAAATCTGGCTCTGGCAAAAAGGAACCTCCTGTGCTGGTGAAGCAAATGCTGGAGACAATGGATGACTTTTTAAAGGAAATCGAGGCTGATTCGGTGGAAAAGGGCCTCATTGAGGAAAAGGTCAACTCATGGAAGAAATTGCTGCAACAAATCGAAGAGAAAGGTAAATACCAGTCCACTGCCCGCAAGTTATTTACTATGTTAATATGTTTATGTAGATCCGGATGAAATTTTAAAAAACCAATACAAGGAGGCAGTTGTGAACCTGCACGCGTCTGAAGCTAAAGTCAAAGACCTACAAGCCGTGGCTCAGAATCTTACAGAAGAACTGGCCGGCTTAACCGAAGAAAAATGCCGATTGAAAAGAGAACTGAATGAATGTTCTACACAACTACAAAGCGCACGGGGTTTCAAGGAAAATTTGGAGGAGAAATTGAGCGAAATCGGCACCGCCCTAAAAAAGCGCGAAGCGGAACTGGTAGCTTTGAAATCGCGCGGTAAGTTAATGCGACAAAAATCTTTAGTCGTTGTTCAATAAATAAAAACTCCTAGAGAATCTGGGCAAAGAAGCCGAGTTATTGAAAAAACAGTTACAATGCAAGGAAAAACAGGTGATCGAGGCAACTCGGGCGATTGAGCGCTACGAACAAGATCAGCGCGTAGCTAGAAAATTGCTCGGAAAGATGAAAGAGGACATTGATAGCCTGAAGAGCAAAAATGAACAATTAGAGCTCGGACTAAAGGAAGGTAAAAGCGCAGTGAAATCCTCGAAGGACGTGGAAGCCCAAAAAGATATATTTTCTAGAGAAGGTGACTAGTTTTTGTAAAGGGATGTGACTAGTTTTTGTATTAAATTCGTGATTTTGTAGAAATCAAGGCTCGATTGGACGAGGAAGTTATGAAATGCGAGCTGAGACTGAGGGACGACCTGCAGATTGAATACCAGAAGCGAATTAGCGACATTGAGAAGCGATACAAAAAAACCTTCAAAGAGACCACCGATATGTGCAAGCAGCAGAAGCTCGATCTGGAGCAACAAGACAAAAAGTCAGAGAATTTCATATTTTCCATGATTAATTGTTCACTAGCTCCACTTGCAGATTCAGGGAGTATCTAAAAGTCGTCCTAACAGAATGCGAAACGTATGCAACGAAACTAGAGAAGGAAAAGTGCGACTTGGCCAGCCAGTTGGAGGCGATGAAAAACGACTTTGCGAAGTACAAGGCCTCTGTGAGCGAGAACGAGGACAAATACCTGGATTTGGTGAGAACAGCAGAAAACAAGTCTCAGGTACGGCTAAACTACTCTCACCACGACTAAACCTGCCTGCAATGCACTTTGTTTGCAGAAAAATCACGAGGCCTGGAAAGAGTACTCGAAAACAGTAGTTTGCGGCTGTTTGGACATTGAGAGCACYAACAAAAACGTGCGGGACCGACTGCTGGAAAGCATGGACCGATACGATCAGCAGGTGCAAGTTGTGTGTTTCCATGCTGATCTCCTAGTAAAAACRTTTTTTAGGTGGCGGTTATTCAGCGATTAGCCGACGCTAAGCTGACGAAGAAGGCTTCAAGGAAAACCTAAAGCTCAAGAGTTACTTTAGTGTTTTATTATTATAAGATATCAGACTATGAAGGCTTTCACGGCCGGTCAGATTACATTTAGGAATGTTTTCCGGGCTTTGAAGCCGTGGTCTATCGGAATTTCTTCCTGA